GTCTTGACAACTGTAGGGTTGATGTGATTATGATTATTAAAACTATTTGTTAATTGCTTATTTATATTTTATTAAAGGAGCCGAATTTATGAAAATACTGTTTGTTTTGTATATAGAATAATCAATAGTATCTGAGTTGTTAAAGTTTTTCTTTATTCTATGTGTCATGTTTTTTGTTTTCATGGTTGATTAAACTCTAAGCAAAGAAATCAGACATTCTCCTTCCTGTTATCTCATCATTTACAAATTAGACAACTATATCACTTCGTATACAAATGAATATAATGGATATTCACACTTCATAACATATATAAACATACATTCAAACAAATTATACATTGAACATGAATATTATCAGCGCTTGGCGTGAGACTGATAGGTCCTGGATTCGAATCTCGCGGGGTGCGGAATCGTGGATGCGCACTACTGAGGAGTCCCATACTAGGACGAAACGGCCGTTCAGTGCTTCCAGGTTTTTCATGGTGGTCTAGCTTCAATTGACTCATGATTTCAATCTATGAAATATGAATTGTAATGAATGAATTTCAAATAATTCTTCAGGTTTACTTAACTATACTTTTGATAATTATTAAATTAAACAATACAATGGAGAATAAAACAGTTAAGTGATAAGAGGTGATCGGTTGGAAACCATACCCTTGAGTGACATTGTTATTAAAATAAGTTAGGAATGTGTAAATATAGTTTCGAGGCAACTAATGGTGTGTTTTTTTTACTTCACACTGTCGTTAGTAAACTTCACTGTCTGATACATTATCATTAAACAATCCGATACATGATAGACAGTAACGCAGACTGTGATATTTACACTGACTGTCTAAGTAGCAATAGACAATAACATGTTTGTCTGATCCATGTTGGTTAAATTCTATTAACAGTATGTAGTGTGGCGTCGAGTCGCGGTTGACTATGACCACCACTACAGGAAGACTACCTGACAGTTAACCGATAAGATCCCCCGTAAGCCAAATATCAGAAGGCAGTTGATGGCTGTAGTCGAGATGTATTTGCTGGCGATCTCGTGGTATTGAAAGAATACTGAGATTGTGCCAAAGGAGTACAAGCGGAATCACTGAGCAAACGTAGGTGCGTGCAAGGTCACAAGCAACGGAATAATGTCTTTAGTACAGTTAAACAAACAAGTACAGTAAAACAATCACTGGTAGAATTGGTTATAATAATAATTGTTTCCATTAAACCAATCACGTTTTCTTGATAAAAGTAGGTCACTACAAGTGTAACTCATTTACACGGTTTTAAATCTCTCATAGAATATCAGTTTTCTTAGAGTTTCAGATGGCAAGTAAGATTAATTATTGGTCATGTAGGTTTTCTTGTTGACTATCTCGAACTTCCTTAATTAGTATACTTGATGTCATGTCATTTAAACCAGTAACTGAATTTCACTTCAGTCGATAAAGTTTAATCCCAACTAACGAATCAGATAATCATGGTATTGATTATTACTTAGTGGGTAGCTAATATACATATGTAATCAGAAAATCAAAAAATTGTAGAATAACGTTTTGTAATTAAATCACTATGTCTTGTGACTGAGGTTCGGTACGACCTTACTGTAATTGCGGAATGGTTAACCTTATTTTAATACAAATGGATTTTTATGGCAAATTCGATAAAACGGCAATCGCCGCACAGTACTTCTATAATAATTCTCTATCACGAAGAAACACAGGAAGAAGATGAAAATACAAAAAACTTGACAATCAAGTAGACGTATTACAAGTGAATAAATCTGTATAAAAACACTAACAAAACATGATCCCGAAGAACACAAAGAATTACGGAACCTTAAGTACTAACAATCAATCAGAAAAGAGTAAAGGTAATAAGAAAATTAACATTAAGAAATAAAAAGTATCCACGGTTATGGTTACTTGTAAGAACTTAACATTTATAATCATGTAATCTTTTTAACAAACCATATACTCTGAATAAATCCTATAGATTTTGAACTCAATCACATATGAGATTGGAAAAAAAGATTCTATGTTAAAGAATATGGTACTGAGAAACGAACAATAAATAAATATAACAGAAGGGGATTTTGTGAATATTATATTAATTTCAATAATTGAAATCATGATTCAGTTGAAGCTAGACCACCATAGAAAACCTGGAAGCATTGAATAGCCATTTCGTCCTGGGTTCGAATCTCGCGAGGCAAAGTAGTGAATGTGCACTGCTGAGGAGTCCGGCGCTGGGAGGAAACAGCTATCCAGTGCTTCTAGGTTTTCCATGGTGGTTTAGTTTCAACTGATTCATGATCTCAATTGATGGTAATGAATACCTTATAAACATTGAATCAAAATTTGATCTTAATTATTCAGTGCATACTCATGTATCTTTCAATTCTGTTAATTAATCAACTTAATTGTAAATAATAAACATGATTGGATTGTAATTACTAATGAACTCATTCAATTCAACTACTATTTTCTTTTGGTAACTTTTATTCATTATTTTAATTAATCAATTAATCTTTTCTGCTTGATTGGTTATTTTACTATTTACAATGTATAATGTATAGATTTAGTAATCATATATACAAATAAGTTAATCAGTAGTACTTTGACAAGTAGTATATATATACATATACATAAACTAGAATACACTAACTCCTGTGAATTTAAACCGACATTAGTTTCCATTTAGAATTATGTATGTATATATGCTTGATTAATGAACCATTAAATAGAATGATATATTCTTTAAAAAGAAATTTCAGTATATCATCCTCATTGATGATATTTTTAGCTTTGAGTGTAAAATACATATTTTTTTCATTACTTATACTAATTGCTTTCTATTTCCGCTCTTCCTTTCTTGATCTTCCCCATCTTTTGCTGCCAGACATTACATTCCTGACTTGCGTCATATGCTACTTACATCAATATAAGTAGCACGCATCACAGTACAATAATACATATAAACAAATAGAAATCATTTTTAGATTATGTATTGTTAAAATTGAACTCATGAATCAATTTAAGTTAGACCCTCATTGAATATTTGGAAGAAATGGACAGTCGTTACGTTCTAACACAGGACTTCTTAGAGGTACACATCCACAATCCTTCAGCAAAAAGGACCCGAACATAAGATCTTCGAATTCGAAAATACTAATCATTTGCTCATTAGTGAATAGATTGAAGATAGATTTCATGAATTTGTAGAAGAAGATGTGACCTATGAAGTCCAAACCGTGTCAGGTATAAAACAATTATCCACTTCAGACGACGGATGAAAGGTCGCTCAAGATCATGGATCTGTTGAAGCTAAACATGAACATTGTTGAATGCAAGTTAACTCAGTGGTCTAGAGGTTAAGCGTTCACGCACGATAACGATGGTCCTGGATTCTAATCACATGTGTGGGATCGTAAAGGTGCACTACTGTAGGAATCCTATACTGATTCCGAGAAGCATCAAGTTGCATCGCCTCATTTTCGTATCAGTTTGACTGATCCTCCCTGTCTCACGCATTGTTCAAACATTCCGTGTACCTATGTTAATTGATACTCCGGTTGTTGGAAGGGGCATCGGTTACGTGACCTCCGCCTTCATCATGGGGCGTCATAATTCTTCTTTTCTAAGATTACAAATACACCTTGCTGACGAGTCACAGTGAAAAACCTTGCCTTCATGGTGTGTCTTACAAACTGCATCCGCCCAGAGTAAGTACAGGTGTAACTCAAGAATATGAGCTCCACTAGATGTATGCCAACTTTCGAATCGAACGTTCTAATACATTTGATGAATATTTTCATACTTATCTCAGTCTTCATTGAATACAATCCAATATCATCTTCTGAAATGTATTTTTATACTAAACGAAGTGTCTCTATAGTATTTTCGATCACTTTCAATGGTTTATCGATCTATAAAAGACACTTAAGTTTCAATCATTCCCTTATGTGAAACATTCATGTCACTGTGGAGTCATTAAATCAATTTTACATTACAAATAATAAATGATCACTTTTGAAAATGATCTTTCCCAAAATTACTTTTACTTACTTTTACTTACGTCTGTTATTCCCAATGGAGCATAGGCCACCTACCAGCATTCTCCAATACACTCTGTCCTGGGCCTTACTTTCTAGTTATATCCAACTGTTGTTCATTCTTGGGCGTAGTGTGTTCTTTGGTCTTCCTTTTTTCCTTTGGCCTTGAAGATTCCAAGTAAGGACTTGCCTTGTAATGCAGTTAGTTACTTCCCCCAATGTATGTCCTATCCACTTCCTGCGCTTCCTCCTGATTTCTTCCTCTGCTGGGCTTTGGTTTGTTTTCTCCCACAGTTTAGGTAGGTTGAATCATTTTCTCTGGTTAGCTTTTTTTAGCGGGTTAGTTTTTGTTATGGCTCAAGGAGACAGCCGATTATATGACAGTGACTTATCGATCGGATCAAGGATTCAGAATCTCGATAGTCTATTCTGGTCCGTTGTCCCCAACTCTGCTAACTCGATCAAGAAGTCCGGGTAAGGTGTAGAAAGTGTATTCTACAGACAAACAGCAGATAACAAGTCAGGCAGGCAGATCAGATCAAGCATACAAGTCAAGCGTATTTATACAAATATTTACAATCGATATTGTCATGGAAGATTTTTGAACATTAATCAACAATTGACTGCTATTTGAACATTTAATCGATAGTTCATCAATTGACCTATTTGTACATTTAATCGATAGTTCATCAATTGACCTATCTGCATATTTAATCGATAAGTAAATTACAAAATTTGAGTTTTGGGGATCTATCGTCCCCAACAGTTTTCCATGGGATGTGGTAGTTAACCCCATGCCCAACCCTCCTCTTTTATCCGGGCTTGAGACTGTCAGTAGCCCCAGAGGGCATCCAGGCGGGGTTCACAAAATTATACATGGCAAAATTATACATGGGAAAATGTTAACCATTCTAGGAGAATAACAATAATTATGTTTTCTGGCTTTTTCTTACAGTTGAGGAATTAAACTGTTACGGCGATTGCACAAAAAGGGAAACCGAAAATCAATAAACAATGTCAATTTTATTTCAAACGACTATATTGATTGTTTATTTGGTTTCATTATCAACTCAAACTAATATTGGTAAGTTTATTAATGAGAATATTTATGCACAAAATATGTACAATGATATCGATTGATTTCAAGGAAGGTTCTTTTAATTTAGGAAATTTTCTTTTACCAAATTCATTCTTTCATCTTCTTTCTTTGTTTATATCATAAACTGATTTTAGTTAAATAATCATTGAAAATCAAGAAGTTGTATTCTATTCTATCCTCATGATTAATTGTTGTATACGTGTTGCTTACTATTTTATACTTGAGAGAACGATGAACAAAAGTGCGATTATCACGAGGCAAAGTAAGAACATTAAGACTGGTGCAAGTGACGATTCATTAAACCCAAAACATAACGATGACCCTAGTAGAAAATACACTCAGTGTATACTGATTGTTCATCCATGTTGATTGCTAATTAGAATAAAATCATATATATAATACCCAGAGATATAACAAAATCACATGTTGTCTATCATGCTGATCATAGTTCACATTAATTTTATGCAATAATATCATGTCCTGAGATTACTTACTGATTTACTTACGCCTGTTATTCTTTGTGGAGGAGCATTGGCTGCCCAGCAGCATTCTCCACTCGATCCTGTCCTAGACAATCCTTTCTAGTTGTTTCCAGTTGCTATTCATTCTTTTCATGTCTGCTTCCAATTACCGACGAAATGTGTTCTTTGGTCTTCATCTTTCCCGTTTGCCTTCAGGATTATAAGTTAGGGGTTGTTGCGTGATACAGTCTGGTGATTTCCGTAGTGTAAATCCTACACATTTCCAGCGTCTTTACCTAATTTCCTCTTTAGCTGGAATTCGGTTTGTTTTCTCCTACAGTAGGCTGTCCCTCATGGTATCCGGACAACGGACATTGAGTATCTTGTGTAGATAACTATTCATAAATACTTGCACCATTTTAATGATAGTTGTAATAGTTCTCGAAAATTCATCTCTGTACAGTAGAACTGTCTTGACGTTTGTATTGAAAATCGTGACTTTGATGTTGATTGACAGTTGTTTTGACTTGCATATATTCTTCAATTGTAAGAATGCGGCTCCTGAGATAACAGCATGCTCACATAAATTGATGTTTTATCGAATAAATTATCACACTGGAAAACAAAACAGATAATACACTGAATAATCATCATACTGAATTAAAAACGGAAGTAATGCTGAACAAGAATCACAATAAGTTAATAATGCAATTTCGTCTTCTCATTCTGTTATATCAGTTTCATTCTAGTATGAGAATCGTCATTAGTGTTTGTTCATGACTCCACCACTAATCAAATCAATTACCTTCAAGTTTCTAAAGGGGATTCTTTATCTTCAGACTACTGATCCAAGATCCACTAGTTTACATCCTTGACTTCAATCGATTCATAATGTCGCGTAACAATTTGTCAATGCTATTAGGGTAACTATATTACACCCAACATTGTTAAGCTCCACTAGTTATGATTTTTTCATTAGAATCCATTGTTCTTTCTTGTGTAGAACTATTATCACTGAAATGTCATAATATATTGTTTGTCCGGTCGAACTTATCAAATTGGAATTATGTTCGGAGTTGTAGTGTCTGTTCAGTAGTACGTTCACGACATACCCTGAATAAGTAATCAAAATTTGTGCATAACTAGATCACATGTAGTACAAAATTGAGTAATAGGTGAGTGAAATGCAAGCTTAAATTCAGAGCAGTATAAAAATACTGTATAACAAATATCAGTGAGACTATAACCTATGGATGACCTTTGGACGACGCTAGAATGACCATGAGAGTGTCCACTTAATAACCAGGACTAAATGAGGGTTATAAACCTGTGTGAGGAATTAGAATTGTGATTTATAGTTGATGATTAAGGTTAGGAATTAAATTTAGGGGGTTTTCAACACGAACTGACATCAGCTATAATGCCAAAACTCAATTTATCCAAATGGATGAGCGAATTTCGCACCAAAATTCGAGACCTATTATTTTATACGTGATTGGTTCATCCATAAATTGTAATCTCGCCCAAATATCTAATTAAAGCACAATTAAATTAGATATCTGTACATAACAAATTGCCGTAAAATTGTTTTAAATGTTCCATCCATCTTAATTATGTAACTATATACAGAAATAATTTATGCGCAAAGAATGTTTATCTTAGAAATTTGTCGGACCTAAAAAAAATAAATATTCAGTTAAATAATTTAAAACTCCGCCTGGAGTTCCCTCAGAGCTACTGCCGGTCCCAAGCCCAGATAAAGGAAGAGGGTTGGGTATGGGGTTAGCGACCCAATCCCGTAGAAAACTAACTCGCTGAAAAAACGCTAGCCAGAAAGAAATTATTCAAACCTTTAAGTAAATACTTTAAAAACTTTTTGGCAAATTTGAATAATTAATCTAACTTTAAAATAATTACTATCAGACAGGGGTTTTGTAAACATTGTAGTAATTTTACTAGCTGAATTCATCAGCCGATTGAAGATAGATCACCACGGAAAACTCGAAAGCACTGGACGGTCGTTTCATTCTAGCATGGGACCTCTAAACAGTGCTCATAACAACTCCGTTTGTGGGACCTAAACCCAGAGCCTCCGGTCACGCTTGTGAACGCTTAACCTCTAGACCACTAAGCCGGTACCCATTGTTATTAATGTCTGACTGCTGAAGAGTCCCATATTAGGACGAAACGGCCTTTTAGTGCTTTCAGGTTTTCCATGGTGGTCTAACTTCAATTGACTCATAAATTCAACTGTTAAAATTAATATAATTCATTGTTTAAATATATAGGAAATCCAATAAACAAATCTGTTATTGTGACCGGTAAATAAGAGAGAATAAAACTAACACTGATGATAATAAGTAAATGAATAGAGAAGTTCAGTTGGGTAGTGACAATGATATCAAGTGGATTAATAATTAAATGACCATGTAATAATATGAGTGAGCATAAAATTAATTATTTAACTAATCATGTCACGCTGTAGGTAAGTTAACAAGGGGAAAAAAAGAACATTATTAGCATGAGAAGATAGTTGTTTGCACTATTGAATGTTATGGTTTATATAATAGACTTAACGTGGTTAGAAAACTATTAAAAACTAAATAGTACTAGATAACATAAAATGGTATAAAAGAGCACAATAACATAAACTAACCAATTCTGGCATCCAGAGCTTTCAAGTCTTCTGTGCAGTACTACATCAGGACGAAACAGCCATTCAATATCTCCTTTTTTTCAGTGAATTTTTAGTTAAATCTATTCTGTGATGTATGATTTCAAATTTATGAATCTTCACAATCTTTGATTATAACAATATTGTTTTCAGTTATATCTCCATCAGAAGTGAATAAGTCTTGACAGTAGGATTAAAAATTGATTAGTTATGGTATGCATAACAATAACTTGAATAAATAATTCAACACTATAATCCTTGTCAAAACCTTGGAAAATAAACTTAAAAATGATCACCAAAAATGTTGAGTAATAAGCAGTGTGTGAATGATTAGTTAAATATTGCATAAGTAGTAAAGAAGAGGATATGCAAAAAGGAGTAAAGAGGAACCAATAAGCAAAAGAGTAAAAGTAATCCTCAGACTAAGTAAGAAATAGATGGATTACAAACTTCCTCGACATCTAAGGATTACGCTTGTAGGCTTGAATGACCACAGTCTACTCTATACATAGCGAAAGGTATGTACTTTTTGTATTATGGACTCATGAATTGCCTTAACTGATTTAATATTCTTCATATATACACTTACATATTACTGAATATTCGAATGAAGCCTTATAAAGATCCAACTGAAAACAGTTTTGTTATTGCAAAAAGTCTTAAACGATGAACTAACTTTAAATAAATAACGAATAAAATCGAGAACTTACTTCATCGCTGTTTTTTCTCGTTGTAAGGCTCTTCAGGAAGCCTGAAACTTATAGATTGAAACATATTATGGATATATATCTTCCGTTCTAACTAAAGAACTAATGTGAATGGAAAACTCAGTACATAACTATTTCATATGAAATGCATTAAAAAAAACACTTTTAAAAAGAAGTCTCTATCGTTTGTTTTGTTTTTTCATCTTTCAGGGCATACATGGAACAATCATCACTGGGACCTAGAAAAGGAAACACAACAACAACAATATCAAGATGACATTGATCGTATTGATGAGCATAATGATGATCATACTAATGACGACGATGATCAATATTTGTATTTATTTAATTTAAATAGACAACCATCCTATTCAACTAACTTCAGGCGTAAAGTATTTTCAGGTCCAAAAATCAATTTACTTATTGATATGGATGAAGATGTTGATAAACTACAAGAATCGGCTTCTTCGTCTTCTTCTTCGCCTCCTACAGATGAAAACATTGAGTATTTAAATCCAATTTGGCCAAATCTAATTTATTATAGAAATCCTTTAAAAAAACGTGACAAAACTATTGATTGGTTCAATGAAAATACTCAACTAACGGATAATAGTCTGATTGTAAAAAAAATGCCAGAAACTATAAAATGGTCTACACCAATTCAACCGGGCAATTCAAAAGATTTACGTAAATTACGTAATCTAGATACATTTAATACGGAACAATATAAACATCGAGATGAAGCAAAATCAGATGGTAAGTGTATAATAATCTAGTTCATTGTCTTGTTTGTTTACATTTTTATTCATTCAAGAGAAAAAAGTTAGCAGTAATAGAAATGGTGGCATTACAAGCAGATGATCCCACGAGGTGAGATCGTGGATGCGCACTCCTACGGAGGAGTCCCACAATAGGATGAAACGGTCGTTCAGTGCTTCCAAGTTTTCCATGGTGGTCTAGCTTCAATTGACTCATGACCTTAACTACTAAAATTACTACAATTTTCAAAAAAACCCTTCTGATACTAATTTATTTGTTTAACTAAAAATCAGATTATAAATAGATCAATAAATGAATAAAGTGTGTTACTTGAAAGACTGTCATTTCTCTCTTTCTTCCATCAATATCATAATGTAGGGTAATGACGGTTATTAAAGTTCAGAAGTGGAAAGTATTCGACAGCAGGAAACGCATCATGTTCTATTTAGGACTCGTCAGCTGGATGTATCTGTATTTCAGGTTGATGTTTATACTGTAACTCAAGCCTGCTCTGTTTCGATCTAAACACCAGCTACTGAGCTTGGAAAGCCACCAACTTGTTTAAGGAGTATGAATTTCATTTTTAATAGTTTGTACGTTTTTATTGTTAATTTTAATGAATGGATTTAATCAGTCTCTGTAAGTATAATTGGGACCTGAATGAATCTTTACTTGTAATTAGATTTTAAACATTGTAGCATTCCATTCAAGCTACATATATGTCAGTAGAAATTGGTCATTTGTACTCTCTAACATCAACAGTGAGAACTCCGAGAATTCCCTCTCGAAGTTAGTCACTAGTAAGTAAATGACAGTTTCCAGTTTAGGATTGTGGAGATTGTTGAATTTCATTGAAATCGTAAACTGATCATGAACCGTGACCAATGGAGTTGAACTCTGTCGGGTGTAATACAGTTACCCATCGAAGACAATGGAAGATGATCAGCAATATCGTGGATTAGTTGAAGTTAGGGATTAACATCGTCGGATGCCAGTGGGCTCAATGATCTAGATGTTAGGCGTTAGGGATAGACCGGAGATCCTGGGTTCAAATCCCGCGTGCGGGATTGTGGATGCACACTGCTGACGGCTGTTCAGTGCTTCCAGACTTTAAATGGTGGTCTAACAACGGTCGATTCATGAAATCAATGTAAGTATAAGGAACCTCGAACATATAGTGTTAAGTTAAAATCCTCGTATATCTAAGGATTCAGCAAACCCTATTTTTATGAGACGTCATTCACGACTCAAACAACTCAACGTTATCATCTAATCACCGAACAATCAACAAACTTTGTATTCGCCTTACAATTCTTGCCCATAGTACTATATAAGTCAACTTGAAATCAACTTTGTATGCACATGCATCCTTCCAACCATTTCATTCTAGTTTAAAAATCATCTTTGATTAAGTTCATCAACTAACCGTTTCAATTCTAAAAAGCCGTTAGGTATGTCCTGACTAATACGGTGTTGAATCTTCTGTTTATCATTCATTTTAATATCGTTACCGAGTCACACAAAGTCTAAACATTATAGTTTGCATCAAAAACTGACCATAGTTACTCAACAATTGCAAACCAGGAAGCAACGGATAATTGCTTCATCACAGTAAATGTTCCTGATCAGTGCATATCCACGACACCAATTCCAGAAATACAGGCTGTGAAATTAAGGTTTCAGAATTAACACTTAATCGTCACAAGATTTTAATCGCTGAAAAATTCCCATTATATTAAAACACAATTGTATGAACGAAGAATATTCTTTTCAATAATTTCTCATCAGGTTCTACAATTATAAATCCAGATTAATAATCCATAAAATTGGCCAGATTTAAGGCACAGAGTACATCATTTGGAAATTGTAATATGTGAATCAGGAATTGTTTGTTATATAAAATAAAATCGTTAATGTTGGGGCTGACTAATATGAAGTGTTAACTTGAATCAGTTTATAAGCGAAATGAAATTGTGAGATAAATTATCAGAATAAATATGGTCAACACCGTGGAAGATTATATGACAACAGTACGAGGGTGATTAGTAATCGAAGCACAGCCACTACAACAGAATATTATCTTCCAAATTATATAACAAGTTGATTTTCGTTTATTGACTTAACTAGTGTAGGGAAAAAATGTATAATTTTTATCCCATCGAAATATCATTAGTAAAACAGATAATGATAATCTTTATTTGTATGATATTGGCAATAAAAAGTTCGAAAACAAAAAATGGACAACTCCTAACTCACTATTCGCCATGGTTACTACCACCTAAATTATCGTTGCTTTATTTGATAAAGCCGGGTGTTATTAAATTATTCTAATGAATATTTGTACAAAGTGTAGAGAGTAGTTATTATAGTGTTAAAATTACTTAGCCTACACAGAATTGTATTATTTTTATCTAAGCTTCAATTAGAACATAAAAAAACGACAACCTACTTATCCCTATGTTTGTATTGACTTAAAAATTCATAGGATTATATACAGAAATTTACAGGATCACAATACATTATTAATAATATTCATTATAATTAACAATTACTTAATTCAATAAGTAGTATGTTTGATTTGTTGAATGATTTCTGGTTAGCATTTTTTTCTGGTTAGCGTTTTTTTAGCGAGTTAGTCTTCTACGGGATGGGGACGCTAACCCCATGCCCAACCCTCCTCCTTTACCCGGGCTTGGGACCGGCAGTAGCCCCCGGAGGGACTTCAGGCGGAGTTTGAATGATTTCTTAGCATCAAATAATTAGTATTGTATAAATTTTTTTATTTACATCTACATATTCACATTGATTTCTGAACTGTGACTGACTAGTACGGTGTTCTAGACAGAGAATACCTGATGATACCTAGTGGGGAGATCTAGAGGTCCTTCTGGAACTGATTCCGAGGCTTACTAACCCACCATGTAAATGTACTTTAGTGGGGACCGCGGCCTCACGAGTCTTTGCATGCATAATGGTATTGCACCAAAAGAACAAGTAATGAGATTTACGATTTACTTGTCCTGGATGTATATAATCTACTTCCATACTAGATAACACACAAACTTTCATCCGAATATCACTTGGCATACATAAAGCTATACATACGTTGTGAGCAAATATACGCTGCATGCACACTGGCAACACAGGTTCTACCCCATGCATCCTATAACATACACATAGGTATATTCGCCCATCTGGGAGGGTAGATGTTTACCGCTCCCAATGAAAACGTACTTACTACACCAGACTGACTCTTACACATTATATGCATATCATTCACACCATGGCTATCACCCCAGTATTTCATGACAGACAAGCATAAGCACTTTCTCAGAGGAGGTTATTGGTCGCCAAGCCCTGGTGTTTGCTACCACCTCTTTTTATTAAGTCCTCGACTTGATAGACAGGTCGCTGATTTTATGAGACATAGGGCAGACATCTTTGCAGCTCAACGCTTTCTTTGTACGACACCATGTGCGTACCCTTTGCATATACCTATATACTTGAAATACATAGGTCCGAAAACTTCTGCAACTCTCACACATAAGAATACATATTGGTTAGCTTGGGCGGTAAAATGAGCCCTGGATATAGTACAGAACTGGTCAGATACAACAGAGTGGGTGATCAGTCCGGTCTCTGCAACCACCTAAGTTGGCTGGTAGAGTTTCCCCCAATATCCAGCAGCACCACAAAGAAACCTTAGGTCGGATTTTGCTGTATCCTTTTTATGCATAAGTGATTTACTTAGATTCTATTTTCCTTCATAGCTTAATAAATTCGATGTGTGAGTTCTAGTTCAATTCTTATTTCCCGAAGACCAGAACAAAATAAAAATGTACAAATAACCTGAGTTGTTCAGCTTGAATTTAGTGGTAATTCTCTTAGTCATAGCAGCAAGAGTATAGTTAAGGTAAAGATGTAATTAAATCAATCGAGACTAATTTTGAGCCACCCCTTAACCAATCAGAAGACAGCCTTTCTGAATAGATAATTAATTGAACATGATGTTACATAATCACTTCCTCTACAAGTTACACTGAATATATATTAAAAACCCAACAACATGTAAATTTAGACCAATGCCTACATCTATAAAGATGCAGATTTCCCGTATCCTCAGACCTGTATAAGCACGAAAATAGATTGCTAAGAGTCCCTTTTCTTTTTATAGTTAGGGTTATCAATTCATGGTAAAGGTTAAGTATTTTGGGTCACGACTTCTATGAATTGATATCGAATATAGTGTGCAATGATCTACAACCATATGGATGGATGAATTTCGCTCAAAAATTCAAAAGGTATTATCTGATTAACTCATCTACAAAATATAACCTCAAGGAATTTAGATTTGTTTCAGGATAATGAATTTGAAGTTATGATTTGGTAACAGTATTAAATACAATCTACAATCTGTTAGATACAATCTATAGGGACAAAACTAAGCATATGATATGCTTAACACCATCAATTTTACCTCATGATGTCATAAAGTAATTCTTATTATCATTTTAAATGTACTTCAAGTATTACATAATGATGTTTCCCTGGGTTTTGAATTTCTCTCAATAGCCTAGAAGTTATGTTTTCGATTCTAATTGGCTTATCCCTATGCTATACCTTTACCATCATAAGTTAGGGCGGCTTCAGTACATTAATCAATTAACATAATTAGTCAGTTAAAATAGATTTAAAATAAAAGACTGTTTTGCGATAGTCTCAAAATTTAAAAATAGACAGCCAAGAAGTTTAAATATACGGCTTTATTATCAAGAATTCACAACATATACCTGATAAAGACATTTATGGTACAAGTCTAAATTACAGAATTATCATTAATTTATTAGTTAAATTCATGTGCTGATTTAAGCTAAACCACCTTGGGAAACCTGGAAGCATTGAACGGCCGTTCCGTCCTATCATAGGACTCTTCAGCATTGCGCGTTCACCGTCCTGCACCAAGGGGACTCGAACCTACGATCTTCGATCTCGTGCGTAGACTCTTAACCTCTAGACTACTGAACCGACTGGCATCCAACGGTGTTAATATCTAACTTCAACCAATCCATGGTATGACTACACGGTTACTCATTAGAACTTCACGAAACACATCTTGAAGCCAGTCACCAGTGTGCATATAATGTTTATTACCAGTGCTTCCAGGTTTTCCATGGTGGTCTAACTTAAATTCAACTATTAAATTACTACAATTTTCACAAACCCTCATTCTGATTATAATTCATTTACTACATTTTTTTTAAAATAGAACAATTAATGTGCCAAATGAAAGACTACAATTAGATCATGATTTCCCAAACATATAACTTCCCAAATTTGTCATTCATATTCATAACCATCATTCAACTCATTTTACTCCTTGAGTTGTCAGAAAAATAAATCTTGTACAAAAGATTAATTGGGATTAACGAAGTGAAGAAGATCATTGTACTAGAGTAAATATAATCCTTGAAATGTTTCTACAATTAATATCAGTCTGTGACGAATAAAGTCTGCAGATTAAGTTAATCTCCATAATACACTTTCAACTAAACTTTAATGGATAACCCTGTTATAAAATAGAGAAAAAACAATCTTTCAAGTTTATTAGTTCTCAGTAGGATAAGTATCTACGTGTGTCGTAAGTGTATTGCACTCGCAAGTCAGGTATGTTTGTTCACTTTTGTATGTTAGTCAAACAATATTTACTGACGAGTGATAAATAGCATGAAACCTAAATTCATGATTTCTTGTCGACCATCTAATATCCCAACATAATAAATGTGCTATCAAGTTACTTAGACTTGAGCCACATTGCAACATGTTCGCTAGAATTCAATCAGCGCTAAGAAGAACTTAACATACATGATACTAGTTACTACCCAGTGATTAATCGATTATAAATTTGTGAAGGTAAGTTCTATAATCACGCAATCCATTCGTGAATCATTCAACCACGCTAGTGTATAGTTTTTGGACTTGTAAATTTCGAATGATTTCAAATATATAAAAATTATATTACCCTTTCTAACATTAATAAAACTCAAGAAGATATTGTAGATTGCATGAACTGTGTTATAATTAAATTTCATAATTACGAGCAGTTAGAAGAATAAATGTAATTTCAAGAAAAGATTTTAAGATTACAAAATGATTTCTGTTTGTATAAACTTGGTTGTCAATCAGTATTAAAAAAACATGATGATACATTCTAACCAGTGCTTCACATGATATTCAGGGAGTCTTAAATGAATTAACAACTAACTGCATCTTATAATCAAATATAGATAGCGGCTAGCACTGGAATCCAGGACGCGTGTTTCGTCCTATTTGGGACTCGTCAGCTGAATGTACCTTCGTCTCCGAGTTGATGTTTACTCTTGGGAAACGAACCCAGTAACGTTCGCTTCAAACTCCACTTAGCTACTGAGTCCTGATAGGCACTTGCTTGCGCGATGGGGTGAATTTAAATTCAATTAACATCAACTCTGAGATGCAGGTACATCCAACTGATGAGTCCCAAATAGGACGAAACGCGCGTCCTGGATTCCACAGCTAACCATTATCTATCTTCGTTTATAAAGCTTGTGAATTAAGGCGGTATCGAGGCAATACATACAGTAAGCACATATGCCAACAAGCGACTGATCAATTGCAGTCCTAAACCTCAATGGGAAGATTCAAGCAAGCAAAACCAAGTGAATTTGATTGCATTTTAGTTGAAATTATTCGATATTGCAACTGAAATTCCTATTGTTCTTCAAGTAATCTTATGATGGAGTTATATTGCCTTAGATGAATGGCTTGATAATATAGCTTTTATTACCGTAGTTTTTGAAAATAGGCACCAATAATGTTGTCTAGAGTAAAAATGAAAGCTTTGTCATTAAACCACACAGCCTAGAATGTTAAGTACTAGCGAGATAATTTATCTTGTATGAAAATCTCTTTCTCATTGAGAGGAACTAAAGTTCTGTGAGAAAACGTCATTGGTTCAAAACTGCCCCAATAGTCTAAGTTATTTTTCTTATTTAGTCTCTACTAGTATTGTATACACACACATACCGCAGTTACTAAACCCGAATTGTTCTATACACTGTAAATATTATAGTTTAGTGTTTCTGTGACTTTAATTCATTGAGGTTTATTTATTCTTTTTTTGAATTTTTTTCCAATTAGGTACACATCAGAAACATTCAAGATCTTGGACAAACGAAAGTGAGTCGGCCGTAAACGAGCAAAGCGAACGTCGAGGTTTGTACAATCTCTGAAAAAAACATTTATGAACTTTGTCCTTCAAAATATTTTCACATTCATAATCATGATTTAGACTATCAGTAGTGATCTATAATGGATGGTAAAGATGTGTTTAGTTAGTTTGTTGTAAATAAACTTTAATGAGACAAAAGAAAATATCTGATTGTTTCACATTTCTATTAAACTGTCACATGACTAAAATATCGTCACTTTAAAGTTACTGAACAACTAGTCTTTTTAGTTTACTTGGTGTTGTTTCACTTGTATCTTCCCATTATTATTTAAGACTGTAATTGATCAGTCTCATGTTTGCATATGTGCATCCTGCGCGAATTACCTCGATATAGTCTTCTTAGTGTAGAATATTTACACATTAGTATAATTACTGAACTGTAACAGGGTGTTAAGAATACCACTTCATTAATAATAACAACATGTTCAGTTAAGATTCTTTGTATAACTCCTCTATTCATATATATTAGTACTTAGCTTCAATAACGATGTACACTTTTTCCGAATAAATTAATTGTGGCTAATATTGAAATTAAAAACACGAAGTTCATCGAAGGGATCTCTTCTCAACGAATTCATTATCAAACCGCACAATCGTATATAAATGTGAAACATTCATTGTTAAAGTACTAGTTCCATGAGGAAATGTGAACAGGGAATAATCAAGATTTTATAATAGAAAGATTACAATACTAGATTACGTAATACGAATAATAATAATCGTCTTAATAAGTTAATAACGAATTATAATGTGAATGTAGGAAGGTGATTAAAACGTTTTTATTACAGTAATTAAAGGTCATTAAAGGACATAGAGATGTAAAGAAAAATAAGTAAAGTGATATCATGAGCCACATGTCACAACTATTATAAAATTATATTACAGTAGATTACCATAATTAGTTTACAACTCCGATATTTTCACGATTATGATCATGAGCCAATCTAAGTTAAACCACAAGTGTAAACATACATAAACTGGATGAACATTTTGTCGTAGTATGAGACTTGTCAGCAGTGCGCACCCACGATCCCTCACGTATGACTCAAACTCAGGACCTTCGATGTCGCACACAGCGTTGTTCGCGTTTAACTTAAATCAATCCATGATCTTGCGCAACGATTCATTGATTGCTTGAGGTGGATATCTGTCTCATAGTTGACACAGATTAGACTCACCTAGTCACGACTTCTCACTAGAACTCCATGAGTTACATCTTAAAGCTAGTCACAAATGCACACATGATTGTGAGAGTTTTTTGTTATTATTTAAGTGATATTTTTTAATAGAAAACTCTGCATTATTTAGATTGAGTTTAATGAATAATTGGGAAAACATTGACAAGAAAACCAATGCACTGATTGGAACAAAGTGACGTTTTTCAAGATATTGTTTTCACTAAAAAAAATACAAACAAGAAATGAATTGTTCAGTTATTCTCCATCTTATTGGGTAGTTGATTGGAGGTCTGTATCATACATTTGTTAGTAGAACATGCTGATGAAGACACTCGTGGAGAAAATACAGTTTTTCTCGAGTGAAATTCTGCCTTTTGGCGAAATTCACCCATTTTCGAATAATGAGAAGCGTACTACTCTCATATGATTCTGAGTTAGTGGAGAAGATTTGTAACTCAAGTGGATGATTTCGATGGAGTTTTGTTCTCTGAGTTGGATGGTTTAGTCGTAGAGCTTTCATCGTTCTTCTGAACGACATCATCAGCATAAACTTCAAATAGATGATTTCAGTCAGAAGAACAATGAAAACTCCACGACTAAACAATCCTGCTCAGAGAACAAAACTCCATTAAGAAGAAATGGATTAAGACATAAACCAATAGTTGAATTGAATGCATTCATTGTAAAGTGATCTTCGAAATCCCCATAAAATGCATTCTTGCCAAATTATCTATTATCTATTTTTTCTTATGCTCTTTACCTTTAGGCTGATATTATTATTGTTATTACATGTATGTGCATATATCTATACATATGTATATGCTCCCCTTCATATGAATATATTGATTGATAGACAAATCAGTATTCATGCACAAAGATAGACATGTAATAACAACCAATCATGATTCAACTCTCTCTCTCTCTATATATATATATATATATAAATGTATCAGAATGCTTCAACTCAATCAATCAATCAGTAGTATCCAACCTGATCATCACAAGTTACAGATTAATTCTATTTTAATTCATTTAAGAGAATAAGCAAATTTTGGACGAAAATAAAAAAAAAATAAGAATAAAAATAAAAGATTATTCTTGATAATATTTTATTCTCTTATATGAAAATATAAATTTTGTTTGTGTTAAATGTATTTTATTGTTTTTGTTGTTTTTGTTGTTTTTGTTGTTGTTGTTGTTACTAACTGAATTATTGATTATCATTTTTTTTTGTTTTATATAATTATAATTAGTCATTTACTTCAAATCATTTATTATTCTAATTATGTCATGAAATTCTTAAACTTTTCATTTTCATTTCTGTTGTGTGTTTTTTGTTGTTGTTGATTTCCTTTTTTTCTTTCCTTTTTTCGTTTCTTTTTTTCTTTCTTTTTTTCGCTTCTTTTTTTTCTTTTTTATTCTGGTAGAATTTAATCACTATGTGTGTTTTGAGAATATTTATTAAAAACACCAATGAATGTCATAAATTAATTAACATATGCTTTCTAGTATTACTTACTTACTTACTTACGCCTGTTACTCCTCGTGAAGGAGCATAGGCCGCTCACCAGCGTTCTCCATCCAACCCTGTCCTGGGCAATCCTTTCTAGCTCCGTCCAGTTGTAATTCATCGTTTTCATATCTGCTTCTATTATCCGACGCAATGTGTTCTTTGGCCTTCCTCTTTTCTAGTATATCAGTTTAATATTATAATAATAAATCAGTAAGGAATATTCAATAGAGAATGCCAAAGATGAATATGAAAGTAGATCGTTTTTTGTTTTTAAAATCTTAAAATAATACTTGTGATGGCTGTTATTCAATATAATCCTTCATATTGTTAATGGTTACTAGAAAACGCCTCAATGGTGTATGAATCAGAAGGTAAATACAAAGTATTGATTTCGTATACAATTCATCTTGATAATAGTTAATAGATAACGCTTCAATGGTGAATACAAAGTGTTCATTACGTTTTTATTATTGTACCATACACAGATATCCTAATCTACATGAAAGAGTAGTGCCGAAAACCTAACAGACAAACGAGTGAGTATGCAAGTTGAATGAGCGAGTATGATAGCGAGTCAGTAAGACAATGACAATGATTAAAATGTGGCTAGCAGAATGAATATATGGTTAGGCGGTAAGCAATACTCAAGCATACATATTCATAGAAGTGTAACAATAATAAAGGTACAATGATATAGATAAGGTATTATTGTACTGATGACTCTGTCCGTTAAATTAGTTAACTAAGGGTTTAACCAAATTAAATGTGAACAAACTCTATTGTATATGAGCTGGTATACAGTAATTAGATAATTAAACTAGAAAAATCCTAGAATGTGAATACATCTCTGTAAACTAATAATAGTAAAAAAAATCATGTTCTCACTAGTGAATAACCTCGTGATGTAACTCCTGAAGTTTTAGTGAAAAACCATGACCAATAGAGTTCAACCATCTTAGATTTGAAACACAAAATAGGTGATAATTGCTTAAGTTCGTAAATTGGTTAAAGTCAGATAGTGACACTGTTAAATGCTAGCTGAGTAGTCTGGAGGTCAAAAGTTCATGAGTGAAACCGAAGGTGCTTGCTTAGCTTCCTGTATAAGAGTAGTGAATGTGTACTTGTGAGTAGTTCGATACGAGGACGAAACAACTATCCAGTGCTTCCATGTTATCAATCGTAGTCTAACTAAGAACATTTCGTGTTTTAAACTATGAATATTAGAGAACTAATGAAAACTAGAAATCTCATGATTTGATGCACGATTGAGCTCAAGACGTTAGCATTTTGTTGTAATCATAATACTATACCAAATTTAGTTAATGAATAAAATTGCACGGTTTAAGTCAAACCAATATCTCCAAGTTAATCCACAATTATCGATTGTAATCAGACATTAAAATTCTCGTAAATACCAACTAAATTAGATCACTAAATTATATAGTCTATTAATGAATAATCTACATTACGCTAATCAAACCAATGAACGACTTTTGATTCGACCGGTGTCACAAGTACTTTCCATCAGCAACTTGAGATCTTAACACCGGTTTGTTCACTCAACTTCTATCCTTAATGATCAACTGGAACGATAAAACAGCCAACAAATTTATTTCTTATTATCTTAATATTATTATTTTAACTAAAAATACACTATTCTATGCATCAGTTACACGATCTCAACGTACCACAAATAGAAGGTTAAAATTTATTCAATAACTAATACATTTGTGTTACAAAACTGAACGATAATTGTATAATTTAATAGTTAAATTCATGAGTCAGTTGAAGTTAGACCACCATGGAAAACCTGGAAGCCCTGGACGGCCGTTCCATCTTAGTATGGGACTCGTCAGCAATGAACATCCACGATCCCGCCTCGCGAGATCCTAACCCAGGATCTATCAGTCTCGCATGCGAACGCTGAACCTCTAGACTACTGATTCGGCCGTCATCCAATAGTTTTAATGTCTAACTTTAACCAATACACAAAATTGCTCCACCGTCCACCATTGTCTTCAATGAGTTACTATCTCACAACAGACCTGGTTGATGCGCAATGCTGTGAAATCCCATACTAGGTTTCCCATGATGATCCAGCACTAATTAACTCGTGAATTCAATGATTAAATTACTACAATCTCCACAAAGCCCCTTTCTAATGATAGTTGTATAATTAATTAACAGTAATTTATCAATCAATAGATTCAATGAAAGCTTATAAATAGGATAATATGAGAATATCATACACTAAGTATTTCATAGTTATACCCAAAAAACGGGGGGGGGTGATTATAGATACATATAATTCATTGTATAATATTTCACCTATTTCAATTATACGCCCATATTTCAAATATTCATTTTAATAAATCACCTATGTAATGAATAGAATTTACAAAATACTGTAAACAATCACTAATGGATACAAAAATAGTAATTTTCTATATACAATAAATATTAATGGTTATAAAATATTACAAATATCAACTATAGAAACAATCTGTTTTGTATTATCATTAGTTGATCAACTAAAATATTCACATATTTAACAGTAAACTATTGAGTTAAGATCAACTATCACCATGAAGGTACATTTCCGATTCGACGTTCTATGACACCTGGTTCCAACTTCCTATTACCTTGATACGATCTGACAAATACTCTTTCACCCACCTGGAAGCTACGAGTGACCGTACGATATTCATT